GGCCTATTCAGTAATGTTGGATTTCGTCTGTATTTCTCAAAACTATAGATATTTGTGTAGAAGATCAATAAGTGTTCACTGCTGACCAAAACTCTCATCTCGCACGTTGAAGGTTTGAGCATTAATCACCACGCTTGCTCATTGCGGGTAGGCAATTTCAATTTTATAATTACAAATTATAAGCCCAGGTTTCCTCGCGATGTTTTCCTTCACCGTTTGCCAGTGGTGTCTAAATAAATAATCTTAGAAAGTACATGACATGTTATTCCGAAAAAGTTACATTGGAACTTGCTGTTGGTAAGTTTCGAACCCGTACTGTGATGCATTAGAAGCAGACTTTTCAAAAGAAGAAATGTAGATGTCCCCAAAATGGATTGTCATCGAGATGATGCCGAAGTTGTCCTTACTGTTAATATATTGTTTAGTAGTAGGTTCCGACTGGAAGATAAAGAACTTATTTTTATTAGCTGTACACACAGCTAGTATCACAATAGCTGTGTGCTTCGTCCACGTTGACAAACGATGAGTAATGTTCTTTAATCTATATTATTGTGGTCTAAAAGTGTAAATTTTAACCAATTTTAAAAAAGAAATTCAATAAACAATATAGAATTTAATTTGTGTGTGTAAAATTGTATCAATGTAAAATTTCAATAAATACGGAATATAGTGAACAGCAGAACACAAGCGCACACTTTCATTTTAATATAAAAATACTAACATTTTATTGTATCATAAAACTTGTTATACATTGCGTGAGCAACTATTTTTATATTTGTAATCCAATAAAATTATTACAACTATTTTATCGACAATAAACATTGGAATTGTTACTGATTTTTAACAAGCTAACAATCATCAACTTTACTTAATTTTAAACCAATCTTCTTTTGAAATAACGACTTTTAAAACCACAGTCACTTGCAACAACGAAGTGTTGCCAACCTTAATAAATAATTTTGAAACAGTAGTTTTTATTATTAAAGAAACAAAATATAAAATTACAAAAAGTTCAATCGACTCGAATAATAAAATTTAACTTCGTTTCAATAAAATAAAAAAGCAATTCTCAGTCGTTACGTTTAAAATAAAGACATGAAATGGCGGCTACTTTCATACCAGCTACCTTATTTATGAAACCAGTTCTATACATTTCATAATTAACGTTAAAGCGTATTCGCCATGAAAGTAATCATAGTAACTTTGTTTCTAAATTATGAATTGTTCGTCTGTAAAACTGTCCATAAGGGTAAGCATTCAATTCTATTTATTATTAAGACTAAAACATAAAAAAGTTAACTAAATTCCCGAGTGGGTGTCATGTGTCGTGTATACCCGGCAAGTGACTACACATTTCACAGAGGCCGGACATCAGCGCTCTCTGATAAATCTGAATCTCAAGCCTGATCACGCCAATAACAATGGTATGATCGTCAAACCTTCAAAAAAAGTGCATATTCCTTCTCAAAAGGCCGTCAACGTGATTGTAACTGCTCTAATGTAGCCTGTCTGGTACCGTCTGCTCATATTCTCCGTATTCAATAAAAATCCCACAGGAGGAGCAGTGGTAGTGACCAATAGTATTATGTTTAACACACGGCTGCATTATACAATACTAGCTTCTACCATCGGGTTTGCCCCCGTTCCCGTAGGATAAAAAGTACCCTATGTGTTCCGAATTATAATCTGCCCCTGCTCCAAATTTCATTCCTATCTCTTCAACGGTTTTGACGTGATTAAGTAACAAACATACAACCTTTCGCATGACTGTATAATATAAGGTCACTTCCCTCGCAGTACACAAACAGACACAAGGAACCAACTTCCACCTCCGAGGCCAACCACAGTTTAAGAAAGGACACAAAGTCTTCAGAACAGAAGATAAGGTACTCTATCGTCGGAGAGACTTTCCTGAATATGACGTCACAGGAGTCTTCTGGGGAGGCCGAACAGATTTAGAGAGAATGCCAAAACCATACACAACGTCTACATTCCTACCACCACCGGAGCGAGAAGAACCAGTACTCACGCTCGCTCCAACTCCAGGAGAATATGAAGAGCCTATAACGATGCCTCCAACTCCGGAAGATGAATTAGACTCTCCAGAACAAATAGATGATAATACTTGGCCTTATTTGAGACCACCGAGTACAGAACCGACCGACACTGTGTACACGAACTACCCTGGTTACCCATACGAACCTCCTCCTTTCTTGGACTCAGTTATAAAAGACCGTGATAAAGAAAATTATATAAAGTTAACACCTCAACCTACACAGAGTTACAAGCTACCTCCTGACGTCATCTACGATTATACTAACACAGAACCAGGCCCCACCAATGATGGGATCACAAATCACACATATTATGTTTCAATTCCGTTAAATAGAAACAAACCAAGTGAATATACCATTAACCCTGAAGCGTTTCCTTCTTCAGTACCAGCGTTACCACCAGACATTGATGGCATGTACACTCTTAAACCTGAGCCAAATATTGGCACTTGGTCGACACCTATAACTACAACTACAACTACAACTTCAAGCACTACCATAAAACCGCTTTGGAAAGTTGTTCAACGCAATGTCGAAAGATCTAATTTGTATTCTCATGTAAATATATCAGAAAAAGATATGTCAAATGTTAAGAAATGGTTCAGTAAAGTAACCGCGGGAACTCCTGTTCAGAAGTGGTTTTCGTCCTGGGTCGGACTTACTACTGGTCAGTATTAAAATGTATGACACGCCTTTTTATTGTTCTTTTTCACCGTCCGTAAACGAGTAGACGGATCACTTGATGGTAAGTATTTGGCGCCGTCCATAGACACCCGATACACCGGTACGGAGTTGTAAGTGCATTGCTGACCTCCCGGGCCACATCTGTGGTGGTCTGGTGGCCGTTTGAAGCGCGCGTGGAAAGTGACGTGCCGTACCCTTGGGTCTGCTTCTGGTCGGTCAGCAAGCTACCCTTGTTCGCGGTCCGCAGACTTGTTATTCCACAGACGAAGCAATAAAAGATGTAGTTTCTAATAATCATATTGTTAAACATTTAACAGGGCCACAGATGAGTACATTGTCCAAATCGCAAATATGGCTTCAAAAAATGAAGGATTTAGGTATTCCTGTACACAGAGACGATCCTGTGGAGTACAAATTGTCCACTGCCACGAGAGCAACGGCAAGGTACACATCATTTACGACTTTATAGGATAGGCCAACAAACGAGAAACGAATCACCTGATGGTAAGCAATCAGCGCCGTCCACGGATGCCCGCAACACTAGTGAAGGTACAACAGCGTTGCCGGCCATGGAGGGTTATGAATTTGAAAATTGATGATTTGATTTTAGGTTTAAAGGGGGAAGAATTGACCATCCGGTAACCTCGCTCACAGGGCGAAACATACACACAACGCATGCGTTGTTTAATGCTAGTTTTTTCTGTTAGGCCTTGGTATCGCTCCGACCGAGCCGGCCCATTTGTGCAGCAGCGTGGCAATACTCCTACACTTTGAATTAATCTAAGAATCAGTCGAGTCCCAATCGGTCTCGATTTGTGTTTCAAAACTTATTCATCGTTTCAATTCTTTTTAAGCTTAATACTAAAAACGGACGGTCATGATATTTTGAGGAAAACACCAGAGTACAATATATTGACGAGCACCACTAAAGGTACTGGATTACCAGGCACTCCAGGGAACGTATTATATGAAGGTATGTATAGCATGTCAAACTATCACAAACTGCATAGCATCGTCATCATATTAGCTACCAGACATCCACTACTGGAAACTCCTGGCCTCCCTCAGTAACTTCTAGATGGGTTCAAACGGCTTTTTGCGACTCGTATCAGGTCCTCTGTCCAACTTGTGGGTGCACGTGGCCTACAATCGGGAACCTTTCTGCCCCAGCGGCTATCGGTTCTCTGAGCTATCTGACCTGCCCAATGTGAAGTGTCCAGTTCCAGTAAAATTCACAACCAAAAGAGATTAGAGCTCTTTCCAATCTTTGTTCCATCCATTCTGACTCTTATCTTCATTATCCAAATCATATAACCAATGACAGTCCACTGCTGCACTATGGTCCTCCTCTACATAAGAGGGTTTGCCATAATCTCCGCAGGCAGGCGGGACTACCTCGTTGGCCAAGTGGTCGCAATTGCGACTGCTGGGCAAGGGGTCTCAGGTTCGATTCCCGGGTCGGGAAAAGTATAAAGGGCTATTTTAAAAAATCTCAGTAGTAGCGCGGACTCTGGAATTGTGCCCGGTATATGGCAATAGGCTCACTACCTATTACATGGGACTCATAACATAAATAGTGAAAAGAGGTTGTTACATTGTACAGTGGCACTGTGCCGTAATGTACACCTCTGCCTACCCCTTCGGGGATAAAAAGGCGTGATGTTATGTTATGTTATGTAAATAGATTATGGTCGAAGATTACCAAAGGCTACTTTTTTATCCTACGGTAGCGCGAGCCGCAGAAGCTAGTCTTTAATAATGTCAATTTTTTTCAGATATTGTAACCTTCGCCACACCAGCTCCATCATTAAGACAAGTCTACTTCAAGATGATGGAGGACAGAAACGAAGGATTTCTAACCATCTTTCTTCAGGAAATATTCAGGATCACATCCGAGAAAGATAAGAGACTAGTAAAAGAACTGTTAATGGAAGTGGAACCACACATAAATACGTTCGTATTCATTGTCACCATCACCATCATCTATGCATACATGCCAGATAACTAAACCAACAAAACAATATTAAGAATTGTATTGTGAACCTGATTGAACAAGAGTAACCTATGGAGTTTCTTGCTCGTTCTTCTACATAGAAATCTACACATTGGAACGAGCAAATAAACGTTTGTCAAGTGCCTACTTCATCTGATTTCAAAATAACTGATTTTCAATTTTTACTTTTGTCAAATACTCTCGAGCTAGACGAACTGAACTAAACTGATTATTATTGACAGTTGGTACGACACTGATCGACTGATGTGGTCAGGACAACCCCTGGCTGACACCATCGTGAAGCTTTCCCGGTTCCTCAGCGTATCAGAAATCGATAACATTAGAAGTAAGTAAAGGTATTAAGAAGTAGAGTCCGGTACCGGATCAGAAAAGGGGAGATCCGCAAACGAACTAAAGTCTATAACTTTGGCGAGACATACTAAATCAATTATTATGTTTTTCGATTTACTCGCGTAATTATTTGATGAAGTACTCTTGTTGTACTAACCGAAGTAAATGATGACCTGCTGCTTTACTCCCGCCAGGCTACTCCTCAATGCTGTATCATATGCTGCAAACCAGGAAGACTGCTGTAGCAGTTGACTTGAACTCCATTATAGAATATGCTGATCTGCTGTACACTGATGGCGAGGGATGGGAACTCTTCGATGCCATTATGGAGTATGAACAATATCCTAATGGTAAGTTTGACATTTGTTTGTACAGGGTGTGAACCATGTATTTGAATAGAGCGGATGACGTCATGACGTTCAGACGGTATAGCATCCAGCTAAGTGAAGTGACGATATCGGTTGCAGAGCCTCACAGCTGATATCGTTGTTTCAGTAGCCGGTAGTGGATGCGAAGAGTTGAAATCGAGCACAGTGCTGGGAGATTGGAATGGCCTATGTCTAGTAGTGGGCAAAAACGCGCCATTGACTCCTGCCTGCCGCGCCTCCGCCTGTGATGAGAGGTCTGTCTGATTCTTACTGACTAATCACCACCACGTTCCTACTCCTGCTCCGAGCCCCGGCAACCCGTTTAGTTGTCCGTGGCTCTGGGTCGGTTGGTGATGACTTGCCATTTCGTAAATTAAGAATGTATGAAACATTGTTTTCAACCTAATGTAAGGAATCATTAACGAATTTCAGGTACAAGAAACGCAAAACAGCTTTGTGAATTTATATTCGACTGTTTTATGAGACCGTACAGAAGACTCAGCCATTTAGAGCGCGGTCAAACGCTATTCAACTCTATCAACACCGCATTAAAGAATAAATTCCCTTCACGAAGACTTAATGGAAAACTTTTTAGAATTGAACGTAAGTTTACTCATAATATAGAAAAATTCACATCTTTGTCTCATGGTGGTAACAGAAATTACAAAAAATCATCTTCTTCGATACTTACATACTTCTTTAGCTCTGCAATAAACAGTTGTAATAAAACTATAAACGTACAATGCAAGATAAAATTACATTCCACAGCACAAACAACAACAAATGGAATAAACTCCAAATATCTCCAAGAAGTTAACAAACGCAGCAGACGGAACAGGAAAAGAACGAATGAGAAGAAAGAAGTAGCTGATGATGTCATAAATCATTTCTCTTCTCGACTCAATAACAAAAAGTTTGCAAAAACTACAAAAAAGTACACAAAAGAAGTGAAAACTCCGGTCATCAACAACTATTACATTTTAACAGCAACTAAAACTAATAATAAAGCTGTGAGAAATAAAGTTAATTATAATGAAAACAAAGAAACGACAATAAATTACAAAAATCTACTATTTGGTAATATTTTCGATGATCAGAAAGAAAGCATTTTGTATGCAGAAAGTCGTTTGGACAGAAATCCATATTTCAATGACTTTGGTGATGTTAAACATGACACTGCATCAAATAAATATTTTACAAGTAATCGTAAAGAAATGCACCGAAGCACGGAAGAAGAGAGTAATTTTGAATCGGAAGAGAACCACTCAAAGTCAAAGTCAAAATCAATTATTTCAACGAGACCAAGAAGGCAATTTTGAATGTCCAATAAGATACTAAGTGTCAGTCTGTCGGTATCTTCTCTAGTTGCTACCTCTGGTAGGTATATTTGTTCGATCCAAGATGTAGCTATGGAGAACGAGTAAGGAGCTCCATGTTTACTCTTTTTCAATCAGACTGACAGTACTCAGTTACAAGAAATTGATTGAGAGGATAAAAATTAATCAGTAGATATTATGTAGTAAATAAATTGTAATGCAACTATTCCATACTTGTTTCTTTTTTATTCATAATTCAAGCTTTTTCAACGGGTCTGGTGATGTAACAGGAACTGCTAAAAAACTGATGATGGTTCAATTACTGAGACAAAGTCAAAGTCAAAATCATTTATTTCAATTAAACGAGGAACGCTTTTGAAGGTCAAGGTATAAATTCCTATGGAGACAAAGCGACGAGTAAAATACTCCATAGGTTATTCTTTTGTTAGTCAGGTTCACAAAACCATTGACGTCGTACAGACCTGTCAAACACGACGCACGACTGTCCACTGCACGCTTCCATACAAGCAAACAAACTTAATTTGTTTATACGCAGTCAGTCAGTAGGGATGTATTTCATTATACTGTGGTAAACTACTCATGTATGTATGTACATTACCACAGGGTATCCGTAAGAGACACACGACCTGGTAAAGGTCTGCGACAGTCACTGTATGCAGGCCGCTTCCAACCTGGCGATGTGTAGTCATTGGGGGAGGACTGTGGGAGGCAGTGGACAGTACGGGGCTGATATATGATGATGATTATGAGGAAATAAAACCAAAAATAACAACACAAACAGTTTTATTTAAAAAATACATAATTATAATTCAAGTTGTAATTATAATAACAACGCAAGCGTTGTTACACGTCGATTTTCGGCTGGACCGTGGTATCGGTCCGGTCGAGCCGGCCCATTCATGTCGACGACTCTCCTAGACTTACACTTTCTGGTCACCTTTTCCTTTTTTATTATTATTGATCTGACGTTATGCTTTCATTGCGAATCGTCTTAAGCCTTTCAGTCTTTGTAACAGTTGCTAGTTGCTTAATTCCTTCCCTCATTTGATTGTAAAAGTATGTTTTATTTTTCTGATAGCTAATCGCATTTCTATTATGAACACTTTCAATCCTGTGATCTTAGTCTCTGTGCCTCAAATGCGTTCGAAATCGTGCTGTCTCATTGAGGAATGGGAATCTAGTATTCGATTCGCTGATTCTTAACTTTATTTAGTTTAGTTGTGAGCTCCTTGGTGGGTCTACTGATCAGGTTTACTATATAACTACGTGTAGATCTGTGCCTTAACATGTGTCGATGTGTCGGAGTAACAATTTTGTACCGTCTCTGTATACTTGTGATCGGCTTCAAATTCCTTAACAAAGGATAATTGTACTGAGTTTCAAGTGTATAACTTAATCTACGTCTATAAACATTTTCATTGCTGTAATTTTGCTGGACATTAGTGTGTTTTCGTTTGATAGTCGGATGTTTTGGTTTCGACTTCAGCTTTAGTAAATTCTGTGTCAATTTCTTTTGTTTTTTCCTTGTGAATGAGACTGTGGTGTCGCTGTCTGATTGTACTGACGGGGTTTGTTCAGTTGCTGTGGAAGACAAGGCGGTTATGACGTTAGTATTTTTACACAATAAAGCCTACGGTGGTCCTGATAGTAAGCGGACACCGTAGTCTAAGTACATACACCTGCAACAAGCAGCTATTAAATATTTAAGAGACGTTTCAGTATTTCGATATAAACTTTAATATACGTACCTTCTTTGATACCTAAAAATCCCAAAGCACTCATCTTCCACAGGTCTGGTTGAGCGATTATAGCTTTTAGCTCAAAGTTAATAGAGTCTAACAATCGTTGACGTAGAACTGTATTACTGAGCCGATGATACGGCTTTAGGAAGCTTTCTATTAATGCCAAACATACTGTATAGCCTGCTCGTGTAACTGGAATTAAAAAAAATACAAAATCACAGCATTATTGCTTTGAATTGTTACATATGAGATTCGAGGATCGCACACACACGTACTGTTAGGATAGTCATCAAAATCTTTGAGCACATTGAAGAGCTTCGTGCCTTCTTCATCATCATACAGCATATCAGCATAGTCTATGATGGTGTTGACTTCAGAAGATAACTCTTGGTGACGTCCACTTATCTTTTTATTCAATTTCGAAGCGTATTCTGTAAGAACATCATTAGAATCAGCGTAGTTTACATGTGAACATTAGCTTATGACGATACATAAGTACGTGTGTCGTTGACAAGTCAACCTCGCTACCATCAGTTGACTGGACATGAGCTGATTACATGTGAATTACAGCTTGGCAAAAAAAGAGTTGGTAATAATTGAGGTCGCTAGCATCGCACCTGTGGCGACCTGGTACACTACGACTCACTGTTTTGATTTTGTTACTTTTATCGAATATCGAAAATGTTCGAATGATTATTTATTCATGGAATATAGTCCGAAGTGGGTGATTCAGTTCAAGTCAATATTAGTTCCAGCTGTCATTGCGTCAAACTCTTTTTGGTCAAGCAGTTCTTACTTTGTATTACTCTCGTTTCTGATTCAGTCGTGAATTTTGCCAGATTCATTGTAATGTCTAAGAGAGGCTGACCGAACCAGTTAATTTTTCCATTTTCATGAAGTCTGAAATAGTAATGAATAAGGTTCAAATTATCAACTTTCAACTTGCATGTCAGATGGTATTATGTGACACTCACTGCAGCACGATCTGTTCAGTATGAACGAGGACTTCAAATAGATCATCCTTGTCTTTAGTCGCCATGATCCTCATCAGCTCGATGAGGAACACCACCATGTACCCTTCATCCAGATCAACAATCATTTGAAAGTATGGCAGCATCGTGGTTGTAGTTTGTGGCGTACCTGGATAACAGTTGAATTGAAGATTTATCATTAAACATATTAGATTTGTCA